ATGACATAAACACACAAGAAGTGAGCAACATAGGAGAAAAGTGCATGGCAGATACAAAAAGTACACGCAACAGGCACATGTTCCTTCGGCACAGCACAACGTCTGACATTGACGTCCGCATAGCGATGTTGGAGCTTTGGCTCATCCCCTCTCTGAGGAGTGTGATGTGTGTGCTCGATCTCACTGAACCGACCAATTTAATTGTCTCATCATTTTTCCCGATCTATCGATGCCGAGAAGAGGGGGGGGGGAAGAGCGAATGGATTCACTGCACTTCGTCACACAGATATGATGGAATCTGTTAGACCAAGGAGTACGGGAGGAGTAACTGCGACTGAGTCCTGCGGAACTGAGAGTAACTACAGTGGTGCGCATCGGTGAGCTGTGAGTAGAGGATTTGGCGTGCGAGTTTAGATTGTTAGTGCTTTGATGCGTGAACACAGTGCTTAGCACGTTGAGCACAACGATGTATCCAGAGTGGAGGAACCCAGACAGTCAGATATGGTACGTAATCGAAAAAGCCGAAATATTAAAATACATATGGACATGGAGGTATTCGAAGCAGCTTGTTTGTGGGGTCAAATCGGAGCTGTGCATTGTCAATTACACTAACTGTTGCGTGAAGACCGGCAGTGCTAACGCAAACGGTATTAGATCGTAGACTGAGAGCATTGGCGGACTGCAGAACGGTGTGAAATAGGACAGACAGTTTAGAGTGGGGAGAAAAGAAAGAAATAAGGATGGTGTCAGCGGTATGCCGACACTTCCCTGCCTCGGGACCACTAGCAGTCGCATGAGAAATGAGTAAATCGCGATGTCCATCGTACCTAGGCGGATTAGAATCAGTAAGCTCAGGATTACAATGCAAGCTTGCATTGCTTTCGGTCACCAGTCGGCTGCGAACAGGTGTTCGTAATTCGACTCCAACTGAAGCAAGAGATAACTGGAGGCACAGTAACTTTGTAGATGGTGTACAGATGAGCAGCTCAAAAAACTGAAGTGAAATACCTCAATGGCACAACCATACGACGTGCCCGCCTAAGCGAATCATGAGTAGAGTCCATGAAAGAAGCGAAAGTTGTTCATTGAATTAGTTAAAGGTGAGTAACATATACAAGCCAATGTCTACATTCGTTTGTGTTTCCCGGATGCAATAGTCATAAGCATTGAGTGCGCTTTGTTCCGCTTAAAACGACAAATCAGCTGAAATGAGACAACTGCTTACAAGCTCCTTTAAACGTCGTTATGGTTGTTCACCCTATTCGTATTCCTGAACGTATAAGTTTTGCTCCCATCATCTGCATGCTTCTGGTGTCATAATTCGCAGGTTATCCCCAATGCGCGAATCAGTACAGCGGGAAGTACAGGAAGGGTTCCACCCTGATCGTGGCTGCGTCGATCAAAGTTCCACACTCCGCCAGATCTTCGAACTCCGCCATGCGTATCAAAAAGTAACGATTGTCGTGTTCCTGGACATCCGTGTTGCCTTCGATTCTATCGACAGGACTGCACTGTGGCACTGTCTGTTGATGAACGCATCCCGGGAAAGTTCGTTTCCGTACTGCGTACCATGTACAACCTGAACTCGGATAAAGTTAGGGCTAACGGCAAGCTTTCGCCTTCCTTCGTTGTCGCCAATGGGGTTCGACAACGATGCCCCGTTTCCCCATCCCCCTTCAATTTTGTCACTCTTCTCTAGGATGCTCTAGAAGGCTCGTTAAACACTAGCGTTGAGCTCCTCCATCCTCCTCCTCCTAGGCTAATGATATTGTCTTGCTGAGTGACGGTTCATAGGCCGTCCAACTTGCACTTAAACGCTTGGTGACTGAAGCGTCGAAGTATGGCATGCACTTTTCACTATCCAAGTGCAAAGTAATTTTTCAAGACTGGCAGATCCTACACTCACTCTCGGTGGCCAGTCACTAGACACTGTGGAGTTTCGTCTACCTGGGAAGTTGTAACACTGATAGTAGAGCTATTAGAGATGAGATTTCGATGCGTATCTCAAGAGCTCGTTTAGCTTTCTCCAGAATGAAACACTTGTGGCGCCGCCATGACACCCGTCTATCCATCAAAGGGCGGATTTATTGTGCGACTATCCGCGTGGTATTGTTGTACGGTTGCAGGATGCGGCCTGTTCGAAACGTTGACCTGTGCCGGCTGCCTGCCTTTGAGCATCGTTGCTTGCGCTCCATTGCCCGTGTGCAGTGGCTGCACCACCTAAACAATGCGAAGTTAGACAGCTCGTCTTGGGGGGAGGCAGCCACTCGCTCGAGGAGATTGTCTTGCTGCGCTAATTCCGTTGGCTTGGTCACGTATTGCGCATGCCTGCTCAGTGCATTCCGCGTCGTGAATTGTTCACGGTTACTGGACAGAGCTGATGGAAGCGATGCGGTGGACAGTCTGCGAATTGCAGAAGCGGTATGGAAAAGCCGACGAAGCAGTTGGCCTTAGCCAGTTGTTCTCCACTTCCTGATTGGGGCCCGAGAGATACGAAAGATCGCTGGTTCGAGATCATGGAAATTATGGCTCAAGACCAATATAGCGGCGGACGTGGATCTCCGCGTGTTGCGGGGATCCCCCTTTCTTCTCATGACAAAACAAAATTACAGGAATAAAACTTAAATCAGTGAGTAGAGAATTAGACAAAAAAGTTGCCTGTTATCTATTTTTCTTATTCCGATCCTGGTTTCACATTCCGTCATGATTCCTATGGCACAATATCTGTACTACAGAACGTGATATATATATATATATATATATATATATATATATATGTAAACGAAGTAGAAAGGCGGAATCGATGGAAACCAGGCCAGCTTCCTTAGACTATGAAACAGGGATTAATATCCAGGCACCGAGTCGAGAAGCCGCGATCAGAAAAACGAACATAGCGATCACCTTATTAGTTGACCCAAAGAGTAGGTAACACTCCTTGTGATTGGACCAGAAGCAATCCATTGCGAAATACCAGTAACCCGTTCGGGTTGCGTCATATCGTAAACAAGCTTCAGAGAGGTGAGTGAGAGATCAGCGTGCCACCATTTTATTGGTGTATAGTAAGCCCCAACGAACTGCGTTAGAGGGTCCAGGTAAACCACATGTGTAAATGCGGACTTTTCCGCGCGTTTATTGATAGCCCAGCCCCGTGGAGTGCGAGTGGAACTAAACAGATCGGTGGCATTGGTAGCCTGCAGCCAAGTCCGACACTGTGTATTCACTACGCACCTCTAACGAACAGTTTTCCAGTTCCAACATCCAGTAATTCCCTACTCCAATGCACTTACGCTGGTAGTAAAGTTCAGTGGAACAAGTGTGATCTAAGCACCGAAGTGCCATACTCCAATTCGGCACGGATCCTTTCACCAGATTAATTATAGCAGTTAACGGTAGTGAGGAAAGTGTGATAGACTAAAAACGAGTTTAGGAAAAGATGAGTAATATTAATCAGAGAGGAACCTCGACAGTCAGATGTGAAAAACCGAGTGCAGGAACACCGATGGCTGCCCAATGTTAGATAGTGCCCAACATCATCAGCAGCAGCATCAACAGCAGTACATCAGCCATTTGCACTGATGCTTCGCTGCCATACAACCATGAGGACCGATGAAACAAAGAATAAGAAGAGGGAGAGAAGGAAGACTTACCCGAAAACTTTAATGCCCTAAGCAAACATTCAGGGTCAAGGCGCCTACACCTTGTGTAGACAACATACCGTCACAAACAGCTGGCTATCGTGCGAAGATAAGGCGGCATCGGCGAGACAGCTTCCTTGCAGCTTTCACTGCCACGCGTCATAATCAGCCATTACCCCGCAGATAACTCAGCATCAAATACACTTTAAACAGACAATCTGATTAGGAGACGGCAGCAGACGCGCCACTGGTGTCGGTTGCGAGCCATGTCCTGTAAAGTCTCGAGCCAAGTATATGGCGAGTCTCACGTGCACTCCAGCCCGGAAGGCAAGAAGGACCAACAGCACCCAGTTTGGTCGTCAGTGACTTCATTTCCCGCTGCCAAGTCAACTTCTGTCCACCTCGAGCCTTGCGCCATCCTACACCTGGAAGACTGAACAAGGCCCTCCTAGGTAAGCGGTGACCAGGCATACCTAGCACGTTCCCGAGCCAACGCAACTTATTCAGTGCTATCTGTTGTTCTAGGGAGCTAGCATGATTATCATCACCTAGTACTCGCCTACGCACATCATCGTTGTGGACACGCTGGTGCCATCCGACACCAGCAATGCTTCGTAAACAACGATGATCAAAGACTTGAAGGCGCCTCAGATCTTCAGACCGAAGGGGCCAAGTTTCACTACCATAGAGCAGAACGGCCCTCACTGTGGCCTTGTATACACGGCCTTTCAGAAGGAGAAAAACTCCCTTCTGTCGCCAAAGATGACGCAGGTTCAAGTAGGCAGCTCTGGCCTTTGCAATGCGTGAGCTCATGTCAGTTTCTATGCTCCAATCATTGCGGATGCAGCTGCCAAGATAAGTGAATTGATCAACAACTGATGTGGAGAATAATCGCGGAGCCTAGTTCCAAGGAAACGGCATACACTAAGTGGATCAAGTGTCTCAGGTAATTTCTTCAAGCCAAGCGATGTTCACGGATCTGCGGCCTAGTGATTAAGACGTTAGGCGTGAACTACTAGGTCCAGCTCACGCTACCTCCACCTGAGGAGTCCAAACGAGGATGAAATTGGTCATGGGGTGTCAGTGTTCGGAGAAGCAGTACTAAAACTCCTCCACCTCGGATATAGTCCTGATGATGGGAATCACCGAGGTTTACCTTAAAGTGAACAGAGATCCCAAAAGAGATTGTGAGTCGCAATCCAACGACCAGATGGGTACTCCGAACACAACAGTGCGTGAAGCATACATAATGTTTTGGATGTGACTCTTCGTGGAATGACCGTTCCGTAAAGTCGAGAAATACACTAAGTAGTTATTTAGCAAAAATGTGGGATGGATCATTTTGAACGGAATTGGTAAACATACCCTTTGGGAAACAGAGAGTTATCCGGCCATGCAACAATGTGTGCAACGTAGCGAACATTCCTGAAAGACTCTGGGTTCGTTCGAAATTCTATAAATGACAGAATACGTCGGAATGAGTAAATAACAGTAAGCGATCGAGCGAACACCTACATGATCGGTAATCACTAGTTGAAAAAGGTTAGTACATGAGTGAGGGTTACTGCGGAAACTGATGGAAAGAAGACGAGTGAAACGAGTAGACGATTTTGAAATGAAGGTAGGTAAGCGCTCATATTGTGTCACATGTGGAATCCGATGAGGATGGAGATAGCGATCCACTTTGAACGGATACCGAAATGTTTTGGTAAACTATCAATAGGATGAAAGGAAGGTAACCAGTAGGTATCTCATTTTAGGTCCTACGGCATCCGTAGTGCTTACATCCTACCACTGGTGGGTCTAAAACAGTCAACCCATTCTCGCCAGCACGAAATCACAGAACTTAGAGTGGAGCTCGGGTTCACTGAGCTACTACTTTCATAAGCTGGCTAATGTGCTGATTCCATGGGATAGCAGTAAGGGAGAACATGTAGAAGCCGAGGCACATTTAACAAGGCAACTCCAAGAATAGCATAACTCTTCACAGATAATCTGGGTCAAACACACAGTATGCCAGACAGAAACCATGATTGGAAGAGCAAGGGGTAAGGGATATTCGCTTCACGATTCCATTGGCCAAGTGATTGCAAATAAAGTCGAACCCGCTTTATTGCTTACCCGGTTTATGGCCCACTCCACACACTATTGCCCAGTTTCTCAAAGTTGTTTTCTCATAAAGACGCTAAAGTTTCGCCATTTTATTAACCATTGCTGGGGTCGTCCCACCGCTTAATTGCCCAGCTACGTGGGCTGCGCTATTGTAACTTTGTCAATTTTACACTCTACAGATAGCCAGTCCGAGTGAGTGAAGAACAACAACAACGTCGGTGAGGTTATTGACCGATCAGAATAGGTCACCTATGTCATCCAATACATGAGCAAGCTAAATGTACAGACGACTGTAGGCAAACCCTCGGCCTTATTCAAAACTCGAGAACTGAGCAAAGTCTGGTAATCTTTCTGGTTCACATCTGTCAGTACTCTACTGGTTACACACAAGCACGGCCAGTAACAGAAAGGATTTTTCCTTGACAAAAATGTTGAACTTTTTGGGCAAAATTGAGACGTATCCATCAGGAATCTCGCAGGCCAAGTTGTCGCGTGATGTACACATTTCTCGTCGTATCCTAGCCAGGTTATTCGCCAGCGAAAAGGAACTCCGGCGGAATTTGTCGCATGGCAAGCTCCCAGAAAAGGAAGCGATGTGGAAAGGATGAAGAATTTGAAAATGCATTGAAAGACTGGGTACCAGTTCGTAGGCACAACTACACAGTTACAGGCTCGCTTCAGAAGCAAAAGGTAGAAGAATTCGGGGAAAGATTTGGAAAAACATTCGCTGCCACAGGATGTTTGCAAAGATGGAAGAATAGAACTCAAATTGTGTACAAGCTTGCGCATAGCGAAAAGGTTGCCGCGGTCAGAGCAGTCTGTGAAAATTGGCTTACAGATCGACTGCCTATACTTTTATATTTATTTGATGATGACAACGTGTACAATACAGAGGAAACAGGTCATTTTTTAACGAGCAACTCCATAGAGTTCCATGTGTACTTCTGCCAATAATCTCAGCGGATCGAAAAAGTCATAGATAGGATCACTCTCCTGTGCTGCGCGAATGCGTCAGGCACGAACAAAAGAAAAATGATTTTGACTGGACAATAAGAAACCACGACATTTTAATGGCGTGAATGTGGACACACTTCTCGCAACTAACAGAGCTAACAAAATGCGTGAATGACGAAGAACTTTTCACCCAGTGGGTCCTCAAATGGGACAAGAAGCTAGGCCAAAGTGGCCGAAAAATTATGTTGCTCTTGCACAGCGCATCCACAAGTAGAAGGCCTGAAAAATATTCAAATGGAATTTTGCCGGCAAACAATGGACTAAGGTGTGATTATGAATCTGAAAATCCGTTGCAGAAAGAAATTGTGAACCGAATTCTTTATCACATCGATAACAACGTGTTATCTGGTTCATCGTTGGCGGTGGATGTCAGTGCCAAGATTTGTGTACTCGGCGCAATTCAGTTCGTATCAAAAAGTTGGAGATAGGTTACCGAGGCAACATGCTTTCAGCATGGTGACTTCAGTCGACTGGCATTCGATGCACTTTCTGATGACGCCATCATCAGTGAGGAGAGATCAGCGCTTGCACAATCCCAGTCATCAACGTAAAAGAGTTCTTCGCCATTGACAACGATAATAATGTAACTCAGATCTGTCAGTAATATTTTAGAGAACCGGCTAGAACAGAAAGAAGGCAGCGACTCAGAGGATAACGTGTCGGATGCCTCCGTGAGTAACAGCAATCAGCGCGTGTCTCATTCGAGAGGTGGGCAACGATTTCTTGTCCGAATTGGACTTCATCAGTGCAAAAGTGACTGGAGTAGCAGCTCAAAATAATGTACAACTGCTAAATTGTTTTCTCAGCAAATATACAGTAGCGCCAGTTTCTAAAGCTATCCAGACAAAATGTTTTGTTATCTTTGTTAAGTTATAAGTCATGCTCTTCTGCTTTTGTAGGTTTTAGTTACAAGTACGTATGATATCCATCTTAACACGTTACAATTCAAGCGATAAACTGTTCAATAATTCAATGGTTGTTTCACTTTTGGAAAAATTTACGATATCGGTGAATTCCGCATCCCACTTTAATGCCCAATTTTGAAATATCCGATGGTGGGCAATAAAGCGGGTTCGACCGCAGTATCGATCTATAATATTTATCAGCCAATTACATCCATAGCGTAATCAAGATCCTTCATAAGAAAATCATGTCTCAAGATGATTCTTAGCGCTAGCGAATTGCATCCAATGGGCGCCAGCGCCCCTAAGTGAGCACTGTTCGTTGTGGCTAATCAGAGATCAGCAATAACATCTCATTCCGCGTACTCAGCTGGTAGGCTATTAACTGTTGTAGGATTGATCCCTCAACGAACAATGCGTAATTATTGGCGTTCGCGCCCGTTGGATGAGATTTGATAGTGGTCAGAACCATGTTGAGAAATCTATGGAGGAACGTGAATTCGTTAAGGATAAACTTGATTACTCTATGGGTACAACTGACAGGGTAGATTTACCACCGAAGAACGTGAGGCTATGGCAATACAACGTGAGTGTAAATTAGCTGATTTATTAGTCACGGGCAATCCAATGCATTGTGACATTGTAATAGCACAGTGTATAAGCGAAAAAAGTGCGCCTGGCCCACTACCAGCTGAGGTTATTGTGCTAAAAGATGACACAATGTTAAAAGAATTTCTGGTGTTCAAAGCGGAAGCGAAGCAACTTACCGATGGGGCAATCAGATCGATGTATGCAAACATAAGGGATACGAGTATCGACCGGAACAAGAGTGGCAAAATTCCAACTGGACGATATAGTATCGCAAGATGCTGATAAAGGGCTTCCTGGTACCTGCGACTTCTTGGGAGTAGTGGCGCTTTTCTGTAATGTTAGATAACCGATACAAGTGCGACTGTGTAGTCGGTGCAGTATGCCGACCACGTGACCGGTGCGCTGGAATACAGACCACCAAGGTAGAAGGTCAGAAGACTCGTTCGTTGAAACAGGGTCTGCGCAGGAGTTCAAGTCAGCGGATATCTTCTCCACAAGTTCAGACCCAATCAGCTACAATGACGGAGTGAGAATGAGACGACGACCAAATACAGTGAACTCGAAGATCAACAACACACATCTAACTAATTCATCAAACGCGTGCAGAAGGTCGAGATGGAAGGAAGAACATAGAAACTGCACATATGGTGTGCGTTCACGATATCCTTTACACAAGTCACTCAGAGGAAAGAGAATGATAAAATAACCGTACCTGCTCTAATTCGGCCCTATGGTTATCCAAAAACTCCCCCAGCGACACGTAATTCCTCCGTTTGTTGGATGTCTCCTCCTCATCCGTCTGGAAAGCCGGGGTTTTCACAAAGGTGTCAAATACCTGGAAGGTAAGGAAGTTGGAGATTTAGACAATCATTTGATTACCTGGCCAAAATGTTAAGGCGTTGCGTTAAACGCTATAACGCTTGCCATGATGGTCTAGTAGACCGAAGTGTGAAATTGCGAACAGAAAGCATAGTGGAATACTTCACTGCATCATACCAAGGGCGCAGTAAAAATCCAGGGTACTATAGAACAGGAGGGAAATCATCTTCAAGTACAACAACCATTGGTGCTAGGTAACTGGATGCGATAAGCCCAGTTCTGACGCCAACTGTGGCTGTCGTCTTGTGGCTCATGTCTGGACAACAGCCACCTGGGAGTGCTACATAGGTGAACTACGAAGAGCAATCACGTGGCAGTAAGTGACGTCCGTAATGTAGAAAATGAAAGGCACAGATCCATCTTTATCAGCGATACTCGAGGTTGATGTCGAAATAAGGGAACAGAACGGGAGACACAGTGGAATGAACACCGCTCCAACGAGAAACACAAGTAAAGGTAACAGGGCCAGGAAACACCGAAACGCAAATCGAGCATTAGGGCAAATATGTCTATATGGCATTGAAAAAGCAATCAATGAGTGGTAAATGCCAGTAAGATATAGGGCATGAAGCGGAATTACTCTCCAACGCATTTTCGGATGTATAGCGACCACAACAATGTCAGTCGGCAAGGCACGATTCCGGTTCTGAAGACCGCGAATGTAAACATCTGCATCCCCGAGCTGAAAGGCAGTCCAGATTACAAAAAAGGGAAGTCATACCGGATGTTTGACGTAGCTATCGTTCAGCTGTTGTTTTTTTATGTTCAGAGTTCCCTGCAATTGAACGGACAAAGGAAAAATTGGGAGTGTGTGTGTACCCACGAACTCATGCACAATGTGAAAAGCAACTATATACACACAGGAATTCTTATGCGCAATAGAGAAAAAAAGAAACTATATTTTCTCCTTACTATGTGTGACCCCGGTTGAAGTGATATCGATCCCACAAGATTCAATCTCAGCCAAAACTAGAAGTCAATGCATTGAAGTGAAAACGTGTTAGAGGAGCAGCTAACGAAACGGCTGTTAGCAGCGCAAAAACCAGTGGAAATTTACATGTCATGCAGTGAACAGCTAGGTCAGCTGCCAGAATCGGCAGTTCAGAAAGATGGGAATGTTTTTGAAACGAGTTGATGCATCGTCTGTACACTATCGGCTCAAGTAATTTTATCGATAATTAGTTTTCTTGGGAGATTTTATCTCCTCTCGGAGAGAAACAAACGCGCGTCAAAAAAGAACGAAGTTTTCACTCTAAACTTGAGTAAACGTAAGAAAAAGATGCCCAGTTAGCCAATAACTGGTGCATCCATAGAAAAAGGAAGAATTGAAAGCGTTACGGTAACCTGTTGACATCGCCTCCGTATCACGCCTGTGTGCATAATTATCTAACGGGATGAGAACTGGTAGCACACACCAAGTGCGGATGCCGGACAACTATCAGAAAATGACAGGCATAGGTATTGCACACAAGAGATAAATCAAGCGACATGGAGTAGCGTATGTTTCCTGCATCTCTATGAGGCTATTATAATAAATGACTGAAAATGCCTCCAGCAAGCGTCTTTTTGAACAGGGTTTGGGGTAAGGGTTCCTGAAACTCCAATAAAGCTCGTCAAATCGTACTGCCAATCAAAATGCTGGAATTTAGAAAAATTCCGACCGTGCCGTATTACACTGAAATCACAGGGTCAACAGAGGATTCCACAGAAGAATCTCAAGATTGCCAGTGAAATCGTGAACGATTAGGATCACGAAGCGAAGTAAATCAGAGAACAGAGCATAATGAACCAGTTGTTGCCATATGCTTAGTTATGAAATAGCCCCTCGCACCAAAAGTGAACGAGAAGATGGGGATAAGCAAACTGTATCCCATTACCTAAATTTCTGTTCAAACCCCACAGGACATGAAGAACAAGATCCCTAAAGCTTGATGAGAGTGAAATCCACCCGAAGATAGCAGCATGGTGCCGACATTCGCAAGGCAAGCCAAACGAGGCAAATGAAGCAATAACACAAAGCGAACAAGATTCTGCAGTCAACACGTATGACGAAAGTCAATCGCTCGCTGTGACTGCGAGTAATTTAGCAGCACAAGCAAAAACAGAATAGTGTAGCATCTAGAGTCAGTAATCTAACGGTTGTGATATAGAGGCAAATGTTGGTAGCTCAGGTTGTTCAGTTGGTGGACTGTGTGTTCGCTGAGCTCGGCAGGTTGACTGCAAACGTTTCGTCGCCACTTGAGGTGACATCGTCAGTGCGCGTGTAATTAGCATAGTGGCGCGTACGCGCCACCTTCAGTGGTGACGAAACGTTTGCAGTCGATCTGTCGAGCTCAGCGAACACTGTCTAATGGTTGTCTTAAAATATTTAAACATTGACCCACACTACGGCCGCGCGGCATCGCGGACCCGTAACAATAAGGGAAATAATTGGGAAGCGCGATAGCAGACTAGCTAGGACACCACAAAGGTATCTCCAAATTATCATACCTTAGACGCTTGTGACGCAGGCTGAATGCTGTTACAGGAATCTGGCTCCGTAAAGGCGGTTTCTCTACGACTTCATGATTCGTTGTAAGTCAGATAAATGGTAAGTTGAGGTCGCAAATCAGTACAGACAAATAGCGATAGTGAGGACGATGGCTTCCTTCATCTTATACTCAGGCTGATGTTCGCCAAGCCAGTCTGAAGAGCAGTGCGCATAATATTCGATTGAGTAAGTGGATTAAACTTGTGCTCCAGAAGCAATCAGCAGTACACCGGTAAGCAGTACTGACGCTTAGCTGCCGCGTAACCACCACTAGTTGCACGTAATCTAAGGATATTGCGCGGGTCGCCCTGTACCTACGCAGGCTTGAGCCCGCGCCGTCAGATTGCAAGACAAGCCTGTTATCTTTGGGCTACGGGTCGGATACAGAAGTAATGGGTTAACATGTATATGTCAATGTCTTGTATGCACGACGTTTACTATGCCGAACTAGCAAGGTACACCGACGGCATGCATCTATGTGCTTCGTAGCCACCGAAGAGCATTCCTGATTACTGTGCACACATCATTATACACGTCAACTAGAGGTGGAAAACACTTTAGCTATTGTGTCGTAATACATAAAGGAAAAAGCATGCAACAGAGGCAGGCCAGCTGAGCTACCAATAACGGATGGGCATCGTGCTGGAGTTAGCAGCTAGATATGGCGTCAAAATAGAGTAATATTAAGCCTAGAGAACGAGATCGTGATTGGAGGAGGGATAAAGAAACTCACAAAAGAGACACTGAGATCAGCTCTTTCTAATATCAACAAGTGTATCCAGTCAAACGTGTTCATCGTCATTCGGATGCCAACCAGGGAGCCGAGAGGCTCCAACCGAGGCCAGCTTCGAAATCAGAGCTTTAGTTCCTCTTGACCAAGTCATAGCTTGGTAACCTCTCCTCTTCTTCCATGCACACCCCCCGCGCGCAAATAACGCACGTCGAGGGAGTCGGTGTGATAGCATGCGTAACATGTGTGCACTAGCCAGTGAGTGTCAAGAGGACAAGATTCCCATTGATAAGATTTAAAGGCACATGTGATAAGTGCTAGGTGTTGCTCCATCTGAGCGTGGCACTCCACAACTGGCATTATGCCTGCTTGGATTATTCACCTATACCCTGTAAAGCATGGATAATAAACTGAGACGGGAACTGCCAGTAGACGCTGAACCACTACGCCAGCTAGCTCCTCGGGCAAGGTTTCTCAGAATGGCAAAGGACTGTTACATCTGACATTTTAAGTGAGATTTCGGTCGAACTGAGCTCATCATCGGCTAGCTCCGAATCCCAGCCAGAATCAGAAGTCCATATCAGCAGACAAGAGCGTTTTACGGAAACAGTTACTAAAAACAAGTACAAGTAGAGTGAAACCAATGGATATTTACGGGGCAACCAGGAATGTTCACGTTTTAGAATAGCTAGGTCAGCTACACTGAATGGTAGCTCAGTTCCGATAGCCAATGGGAAAGCAGATAAGACGTCATGCGGTGGACGCAAATGTTTCTGAAACGACTTGGTGCTTCAGCTGTACGCCATTGGCTTAAATCGTTTGCTCAGTGTAATAATGAAGTCTCCTTTGAGACGTTACTGAGCAAGAACTCATGACAGTTAACAAAGATGTCATTTTCAGCATATTTGATTAATCCAGTGATATTTCATTACCATGAAACTAGGAAGCAAAAAAGGTTCATGTTGAGAAGAGGACGTACAGTGATATCGATGAGTTGAGGCTGTAAATGAACATTCAGGAGCAGGGCACACAGAATAAGGTTAGATGTACGATCGCAATCGGTGGGTTAGTATGTGAAAAAGAAAGTGAAACAGCTGTACGCGCAACATACGGGGATAAAGCTAGAGCAGGCGATGGAAATGAAGACTAGAAATTTACCGATATTGCTGACTTGTCCTTTAGCGCCGAACAGATTTCAATGTCGGACCAATACGGTTGGTAAATCGTGCCCGAATTGCTCTCCGTCAGAGGTTTCGATTTGGCCTTCGCTGCAGTCTGCTTTGAGCGTGTTCTGCGGATCATAACTCCACGACGAGGGGTGGTAAAAGTTGAACCGCTTCGCACAGGACAAACTTGTGCGCAAAACGTCGGTTCTAAAACGTTTCGTGGAGCATTGTTTACTGGAAAACCAAAATAGGATGGCCACATAGGGGCTTGCCGAAAAGTCCCTTGTAAAACAGGAAAGTCTGTGGCACAATTAGGATGCAAGAGTCTTTGGTTGGTTTGGTGGCAATTCTGCATTGTCGAAATATTAGGGTATTGAAACGGGATCAGGAAAGAATCAGGAATGGGAAGTGGGTTGGTAGGAAACGTGGACGGAAGGAAGTTAAAACTACTACATCCGTAGCCACCTCCTGCTTGTTCGTGAGGACCAATACAGATGGAGTTTCTCATTGGCGCTGGAAGTTGGCTGTAGTTAGGAAGCGCTCCAATGTAGGCTGTTGGAGCCACATGGATGAGAGATGGAGGAACGATAGTAGACTGGGTCGAGGAAGCATTCATTACAGGAGGGCCCGGGGAAATAGCTCGCACTCTTATCGTGTTGTTAGCCAGCCGGAAATCGCTATGGTCATCGAAATTCATTGTAGAGATCTAAGATGTAGCTGTAAGGCCACCGAAAAATAGAGCTGAATAAGCGTTTTGGAGAAAGCAAATGATCAGGTAAAAAACTGCTTCCTGAGACGCGGAGACCTCTAACACATGTTAACGAAAGCGTGGCTGATGCACAACTTGATATTTTATAACAAATTTGCATTGATGTGTCATACTTGTGAGGATAAAGTGTGCGGGTGAATATTCAATGCAATCTCTCCAACCAGACCATAGCATTTTATTCCAAGAAGATGGCAGGTCGAGGTAAAACATTATGCAACAAACAAGAGGCCCGTCCATATAACGCCTTGGTTTCAGGCAATGAATCCACGTGGAAATTATATATATATATATATATATATATATATATATATATATATAGGCTTCCAAATAACATCCACGTGGTTCCTGCTGGGTGTTTCGGGTATATACCTTCGAGTTTATGCTTCACTCTCGTGCATCATTGTGTTACAATAAATTGCTACTGAGTTCATGGGGAGCATTAGTCCTCCTTGTGTCAATCGACCGAACAGGTGTATGAAGTGGTTCATCAGTCACCGGCTCTTAATGAGCGCGCTTCCCTGGATTCGCTCCGCTTCCCTGCGAATAGGCTATTGAGCCAAAGGCTCCGGATGGTGTCCGTAAGTCAATGTCCTACCTCGGCATGAGCAACCAGGTAGTAGCGTGACCTCTGAAAAAATCACGGATTTCTGTGTTGTAGTTGACCTTTTTACGACAACAGTACTTTTATTTGGTAGCTGTGGTTTTTAAAGGATCTACGTCTATTCGTAGACTACTGCACCATGTAACCTTAAATCACATCCCAAATTCCACGCTTGCATTGCTATATGATGCGAAAGAATATCGTGATGTTCAGTTTGATAGTTAAGTTAATTAGGAAAGGTAAGAAGCTGCATGAATTAAACCAGGATTGAGTGAACAGGCTGGTGCGCTAGTCCAGCCTCTAGTGATGTGGGCAGGCATCAGTAGGCCGGTGCACAGTACCGACGCTCTGCTGCCGCGCAACCACCAAGTCGCGTGGGGGCTAGTGATAATGCGACGGTCGCCCAGGCCTCTACGCAAGCTCGAACCCGCGACTTTAGAATTACGATGTAAGCTTGTGATACTTAAGGCCACACAGCGTGTGCAGCATTGGATTTGCCTGCGCTTCTCCTAAAACATGTGGATGAAATCTTTCAAACAGCATGGGTACGCTAACGAACCATGGAAACAATGCAGTAAGGTAAGCTAGCGAGTCGAGTACTCTCGCGCAACGTAACAAAGTTTGACTGGAGAAACAAACACAAGAGAAATTTGGACTCATGGTGACGAAAAGGTAAGAACCGTGGAAGTACATCGCAAAGCAAGAAGTTGAGGTAATCAAGGTAAGACCTCAGTGGTGGATAGAACTTCCAGTGATAATCATACATGCATAAGACAGTGGACGTACTGCAACCTGGCCTCTACCTCCTGGACTAACCACACCTCAGGTGAGGTACCAGGGAAGGCGCTTCAGAGCCGATGCACACCAAACAGACAATGGTGATCTATTCCTGCAACTATGTACCGACCACATTCTTTATGTTAGCAGCACTGTTTTCCAGCACAAACATTCAAACCATGTCACCTAGCATCCACCAAATTCCTCAATGACCTAGACACAAAGTGACCATATTGCCATCAGCTGCAGGTGACGGACATCAGTCCGACTGTCGGTCAATTTGGAGCACTTGCCTGGATCCTGACCATGCTCTAGTGCGCGCACGCTTGGCGCTCACTCTTCCCACTTCAGAGAAGCGCCTATCTTCTAACCGTCTTATCTGTAACTTGAGCTTGCAATCTGCGGTTCAACAACATCACGGCCAACTGGCCAATCAATTGAAATTGATAAATGAGGTCGGTGGGCCGAACGCTGACTGGGAGCGTCTCAAGTGTACCATGATGAATGCCTTTGACGCATACTGTGTTCCCAACTTGAGATGTCGTAACTGTGAATGGATCTCTGCAGCATCGATCAGTTTGATTGAAGCGCGTAAACAGGTTACGATGGGCACTGAATTTCAGCGTATCCGTTACTCCCTGAAACGACGTTTGACACTGGGTCCTCGAGTTGACCGGGAACGTTACTGGGTTACAAAGGCCTGTGAGATGGAGAAAACCAGCGCTATTAAAAACAGTCGGACGCTATTCCAGGTCATCCGGAAGATGGGTACGAGAAAGTCATCAGTTAGCAAGACAACAGCTGAGAAAGATGGACTGTTGATATATTCCCAGCGTCGTCGATTAGTCCGTTGGGTGGAACATTTGGAAGAACAGTTCAGCAGACCTTCTGAGACATTGCCGCTTGCCGAAGCATGAGCCAAGGCGGGAAGTAGGAGTCACAGCCCCCACATTGGAAGAGATTCGACATGAGCTCGCCGTGTTAAAACGAAACAAAGCTCCTGGGCCAGACGACCTTCCCCCATCTTTGCTGAAAAATGGTAGTGACTCATTGTTGGCTGGACTTACTTCACTTTTTAACAGGATTTGAGACACTAAATAAGTGCCTTCAGATTGGTGAGTATCAAGAAGGGTCAGTGCACTTTGTGCGAAAGTCATCGAGGTATGTCTTATTTCTATTGCCTCAAAACTACTCACGGGTATCGTACTCCGAGGACTTACTGGTCACCCTGAGAACCGAATTATTGAAAGCTAGGCTAACTTCCGCCTTGGTGGTGGTTGCATCGACCACATGTTTATCGTTCGCCAAGTTTTAGAGAAAAGGCACACAAAAACGACCGACAATGGTGGTTTTCCTTGACTTGAAAGCCGCCTTCGACTCTATTGACCGCGCCAGCTTGTGGCGCTGCTCATCTATGAAGGGCGTGCCAACTAAAGTGCTTTCCATTCTGAAACCTCTTTACAGTCATTTCCGAGGCCTTGTAAGGGTCTACGGGGTACTCTCATCTGAGTTCCCCACGACAAGTGGAGTTCGCCAGTATTACCCTATATCTCCTTTCCTCTCCAACTTTGTGATCGAAATTATCTTAAATGACTCGGTTCTTTTAGACTATTCTGGAGTGGAAGTTCTGTCAGCTAACCGATGACAAACCTGGAGTATGCGGACGACATAGTTCTCCTTGGGTCTGAAGTATTGGTTGTGCAAACACTACTGTAAAAACTTATGCGTAGCGCTGCACGCTTCGGCATGTAGTTTGCACCTTCAAAGTGCAAAGTGCTGTTGCAAGATTTGGCCGACACGCCGGTTTTAGCTATTTCCGAACAGCCACTGGATGTGGTGGATCGGTTCACTTACCATGGTAGCTGTGTCACCTCTGGTGGCCACATCACTGAAGAGGTTACTTCGCGTATCAGCATGGACCGTGTGACTTTTCTGGCTCAACCATCTAGGGAGACGGCGGGATATCAACTTGTCAGTAAAAGGTAGGGTGAATAACGCTGCGATAAGACCAATGTTACCGTATGGATCGAAGACATGGTCAGTTCGCAAAGAAGACATTAGACGCTTGGCCGTGTTTAACCACTAGTGCTTGCGAAGTATTGCTCATGTTTGGTGGGAACATCGGGAGACCAATGCTGAGGTCCGCGAGTTAGTTATTGGCAAGAACCCCTCTGGTGCCTATCTCGAGTGTTTGACAAATCTTAGTCACTTGCGTTGCCTAGGTAATGTCCTCCGTATCCTAGTTGGTCAGCTTCCTCGGTGTGTAGTATACGCCGTGGCAGCACCAAATTGGGTGAAACCGCGAGGTTGCCAATCCATGACATGGCATCGAGGCATGAAGAAATCGACGGAAAAACTTAGTCAGGCTGTTGCATGCGCTTCCTGATTGGGGCCGTCGAGACAGTCCACACTAATGGATGGAGACCCTGTCAGACATGGCGCAGTCGGTGGCATTCCTGCATTCGACTTTTTTCATCTGGTCGTTAATTTTCGTTCCATTCTGATTAGTTTGATGCATTTCATTCATGCTTCATTTTTCTGCATTCTATCTGCATTCAACCCCACTATCTATTCGTTGCTAGTTATTGTTATCCTTACGGTGTGAGTCGTGGTTACTGGATACATCGCACTTCGGAGCTCGGACCATAGTCGATTAACTGAATTGAACTGAACTCAAATGCATAACGAAGTAAGCCAAATGGGTGTCATATATCCCAGCATATAAATTAATGGGCATATTAGCTTAAGAACCATTCTGTACCAGGAAACGAGAGCGGGTTTCGTGGTAAAACGTGGTGAAAAAACTATCCGGAATACCGAGTGAAAACCATTATGTCATGATTGGCGAACAACTATGGCAACGACAGTAGCAGTACATTGGTGAATTGGAAGGGTGCGTCACTGTCATGCAACCATAATGAATCCACTAATGATGAACAAAAAGACTTGGGATGGAGGAACTGAGATAAGACCTAAACGATCCGAGTAAGCATTCAGGCTGAAGAAGCATACAACTTCGCATCGCCACACCAGCAAGCGGCTGATTGTTATCTGAAGAGTAGATGTATTAGCGATACAGGTTCCATGTGGATTTCAGCGTCACGCGTCATAACCAAGCTAACTTCACTGGTAACTCGTTGCCGCAAAGACTGAACAGGACATCATGGCAAGAGAAAACTATCAACATGCCAGTAAGAAGAGAAGCATAAATAGTACGTCGGCACGCCGTACCGGCGCTTCGCTACCACGCCGGAAAACGGGGTCGGCAGCAGCTAAGAGGATCCGAACCGGTTACTTAGCATTACAAGGCAGAGGCCTTATCCAACTGGGTACCAGCCGATTCAACACGTCAGCGACTGCTACAGAAATTTATATTATGTATGTCCTCGAGCCAAGAAAAAGGTGGGCCAGGAGGACTTAAGAACACAGTCAGAGAGGGAGAAACTTTATTCGATTTACTCAGTACGCAAAGGATTCATCCCCCGCTACCGCGTCAACCATCATGCATCACACGTCTTGCATCATCCTAGATCAAATACACAAAACAAACCCAGCCTTCGGTAAATAGTGG